AACTCGTAAGTACGTAGATGACTAAATAATACGTCTCAAACAGATTCGTGCGTATTGTCCTTTCCAAACCCTAAACAAACATCTGCTTGCATGGATAAAAGCACCTGAAATCAGAATTTACACCTTTCCACCACCTCTGCGTAGGAGCGTAATGCACGGCGCACACTCGGACCAAATCGATCAGTGATAGCCGAGCTCCTCTTTCACTCATTTGAAGGGAAATATGTGTTTTGAAGGGCACACTAAAGTTTCCGAAGGTGTATCCTGACAATGGCACATAGGGAGTGGTTTTTTTGAGTAGCTCAGAGGGTAGCTTTTGGTAACCCATCTAAAATATCTCCTGATCTAGCGGGTCTTCAGGAAAACTGTAAAGCTTGTTGGAAAGAGAAAAGATAGGCGCTCCGAAGAGGGTTTTGGTCCTGATGAAATTGCGTTCGAAATAAGTAATCCTCGTGTGAAGCATAAAAACCCGCTTGCCATTTACCCCTAGCCGATCCGAAACCCATCCGAAATATTTCACGAACGGGGAAACATTCAGATTGCAACTAGGTAGAAAACGCAACAGTAGGAACATTGCCGTTGCATGCTGCTAACCATTCCTCAAAAGCCGCGCACCTAAAAGAGATATACCCCCGAAAAGACCCCAGGACGTTGGCAGGTCCAACAACCGCGCTCCAATGACGTTTTTCCAATGAAAGCGGTCGCAACGTTGCGATCGATAATAGCCGAGTATAGAACGATATACTGCCGCCTGGTTATCCATTTTTTTCATTTGGCTCCGCATTTTTTTGTATTTTTCATGTTTCGCTTTGTTGTGTCGTGCATGTTTTCATGATTTCCCCATCACCATTCATGCACATATGGAGCCTGAAGCCATTTAGTGAACATGCTGGTTATCAGTCAGAGCAGGAGGGGGGGTCGTAACTGGACCCTCTTCGAGGGGGGGGGTCGTACTCACACCGCCGTTTCGCACATCCCCATGCTGTACCCTGCCCGCCTAGCCATGGTGTGCTTTCAATTGAAGAGATATTTTTTTTATCTTTTTTTCCTCATTTACAGAATCTGAATGGACGGACCGGATATCTCGTCAGATTCTTCTTTATCAGAAGCGAGGCATTATCGAAATGAAGAAGTCGAAATGGTGGAGAAGCAAGTACGTCGGCTTCCTCTTCAACTAGGAATCTTAGGGGTTTTATTGCTTTCGAGATTGGCTTTACTTCTTCGATAACCCAGGGCAACACAAAAGGAACTGACACGATTAGATCACTGCTGGTGGTTTCTGGCACCAGACAAATAGGCCCTTCCTTGACGCAGTTTGGCTTGGAAGGGGCATGTTTCGCACTCAAGCTCATTATGACACGCGATGAGAGAGTGTACTTAAATATCTAGCGTGCCAAGTGACCACGAACCGCCTATTTCGGCGAAAAAAGTGCTGTTGTCCCTTCGTGGTTCTTGATATAAGAGCTACTTATTCCCAGCGCGCTCTTCTTCCCCATTTGTGCGGCACTATGCACTCTGTACATTCCTAGTCACGCTATACTTGGCAAGACTGAGGGCTCGTAAGATTACGTTCAGCGTGCCCAGAATGTCTCGAGAAATGCTTGGTGGGTGAGGGATGCGTTTTGTTGTGAGTCGCTATGTATGCAGTATTTCCCCTAGATAAATGAGACTGAGCCGACCGTTGTGTATTCACAATAAAATTCTTTTCTCTAATATGAGGGTTCTGAAAGAGCCAGGGCGATAGGCATGACATGAACGCTAGCTTCTTATCATGGCAGGTCTTTCTTTGATCGAAATGGAAAGGCGCTATCCTCATGGGGCATCCGATTGAACTCTACCGTTCTCAGAGTTTTTGGCGCCAGTTGCCGCGGTCAGCCATTAGATTTCCATAGGCTTAAAAGCAAGTGGCACAACAATTCCCCAAGAAGTGCAGGTTGGATACGCCTACCAGGACAGAGTACAGCGTCTGAGCAAGCGCTACGTAGTGCCTTTTCCAAGGGAGGTACCCTCATAGTTCCCTATAAAGCTGCAACATAGCGACCCCCGACGCCCACCACGTCCGCCCGCCCACAAAAGTTTGACCGATGCTGATGCTTGTATCGTTTCATTTACGAAGTATAATACGAGGCGATGGGATTGATCTGAAGCGGTTGCGGTGCTGCATGGATATATGATACACCAATGTAGTCGTATCTGCCCTAGCGATGATTGTCACGATGCCAACGGGAAACTTTTGACGGTTTCACTTAGCTTTTTCGCCACTTTCCCACTATATAGCACCTCTGCCACCATTTTAGACCGGTTGCCAAATTATCTTGCCTTATGCCTTTGAGTAAAGGTTTCGTAGGGCTTCCAGTAATTATGATGTCAAGGGAGCAACGCTGTCTTCAGGACGACCCCATCGAAGTTGTGTTCCCACCAGCGGAGAAACCCGAACGGTGTAGGCGCAGGATCATGGAATGCTTTCACAGTTTATGGGCCATGACCGTGATCAACGGGTTGGCCGAGTGATCGTACCGCGGAAAATTTGATCTGTTGTTGCCCATGAATTCCAGTAAGCGTGCAGTTTCAAAGGAAACAAACTGCAGAAATCGCGGCGCTCGGCTTGAGAGGAGCATTTTGCTCTTTTTCTAGTTCCTTTCTCAAATTCATGTTACCTAACAGGTCTCTCTTTGATTAAAGCTGTAACTTCTTCGAAAATGTGGAATGCTACAGGTGGTATCCCCTCCATGCTGAATTGCGCCGAAATTATTTTTGATAATAGTACTCATTTTCTCAATGATTTTCAGAGGAGCCACATGCACTGGGACAAGTTCAGCCGTTAAACAACAGAGATTCTCCCTAAGTCTACATAATGTCGCAGGACTTTTCATTATACTTGGAGCAGGGCTCCTTTTCGGCATCTTGACAGTTATAGTGGAGCTGTTTATCAGGTGCAGGCAGATGGCGAAAAAGGAAAATGTGAGATTGTAAGACTTAAGGACTACTTATTTCAACCGCTTATCGTTCACTGCTTTTCAGATCTCCATCTGGACAGAACTCATCAGCGAACTCCGTTTCGCACTCAATCTCAATATTATTGAGGATCACCGTTCGAGAAAGAAGAGTGGGAAGTTGAATGGCGTCCCTTCAAACGATCTCTCACAACAAAAGGAGCTTACTTTTGCGGCAAATTAAGCTGAACAGCTAATCTAGTCAAACCGCGGTGAATAAGGCCTATTTTATAGGATTTCAACGAAGTGATACTTGCCCCTTTTAGTGCCGATAGGAAAACAGGTTCTCTTGAAAGTCGCATTCCTTCATATTCATCAACTTTTTTAGTAATATCATGGTGTGCTTGTGTATGTATATACTGGTCGGCTGGAACTAACTATCCTGAAGTCCCATAGATAAGTTCGCCACTAGGCTGCCTTTATAGTTTGCGGCAGCGTCCACCGGCGATCTCTCGGATGTTCTGTTTCATTGTTTGTTGGCTGAGTGTAGACACATGAGTTCGCTCATGTAATAAATGGTGAATGATGATGATCTACAGCCGTCCCAGGGTTACCAGCAACGTCACGAGTGCTAGGGAAGTATAGGTGTCGATCTAACGTCTGCCAGCGCCTGCCAGCGCCTATCAGCGTCCACCAGTGACCAGCAGCAGACTGCTGGTAAGGAGTAGTGGGCGATAGAAGGGTGGCACTGCTGCTCCCCTCCGCGCTATACTCTCTGCAAGCAGTCTGCTACCGGTTTCACCGTCTCCGTACACAGTCAGGTGAACACAAAACATCTTTATTAAGCACAATAGAAGAAACGACACAAAAAATTTACTACTCACTAGACACACACAAAAAGAAATCGAGGAGCAGAGGTTTAACCCAGAAAAGACGAACAGGAAGCAAAAGCAGATCCAAGCGCAGAGAGCGAGAGTCCCCCTTATATACCGCGCACCTTCGCGCCCAAAAGCATTCAAACGTTCCCGCTCATCCAGTCGATCGATCTCTGCGCCATCTCCTGTCACCGATTCGGCGGCTGAATCTGAATCAACTTAGTTCATTAGGATTTACTCTGCTATCACATGCCCCCCTCCAGGTAGATCTGTCCTCAGATCTTACATTTTCAGTTCGTCCAACTTCTTCGCGGTGGCCCTCTCTAGACTCCGCATCTTACGCTTTTCCACGCGCTTTAGGTGGCGCTTAGAGATGCGGCCATCCTTTATCGCCGGCCCACCAGACGACTGCGCGCTTCTTCCTCCCGACGGATTTCCTCTCGGCTTCATGCTTTTCGGAATCTTTACAGCGTCGAGCTTCACGTAATCCTTCACTTTGTCTGAGAAACTCGAAAAACTCGACTGCTTGTTCCACTGGCCACCACCTATCGGGGTTATGAACCACGCCAACCTTCAGACAAGCCATTGTAGAACTGAGAATTCCAGGTTCGGCAGGGACGAGGCAGTGTATCTGATTCAGAAACGATGGATACGTGTCCACATATCCATTGATATGGCTCCTTGTCTTGGCGTTCAATCGGTCCCAACTGTTTTCCTCGACTGCTCTGGGTCCGTTGACGACGATTACATGAGCTCCACACGAGAGCCACAAATTGAGTGCGTTGACGTACTGCAACCACCGGTTCTCCCGGTGGCAAAACCAGAATCACATTTCCGACGTCGTCTGCGAAGATGGCCGTATTCGTAGCACGTATCTCTCGGAATGACTTGTAATAGAATATGGCCATGTTTGGGCTCGTGTGACAAAACTTGATCCTGTGCAGGACTTCCGGTACGACGACGACGATACGCCCATGTTCTTGCCCATACTGCACTGACTGCGCAATAGTCTCCCATTCTAGCTTCTTCGCGATTCTCCACCCGTATTCGATGACTCTCGTTGCATCGCAAGGCCATCCCGGGAGCTGCGAATGACGTAACGGGGCTTCCTGCGGCACAGTCCCCGCCATAATCGAGACATGGAGACAGCGATGTCGAAAGAAAGCGTATGCGAATCCTATCGCTTTGGGAGTCACTTTGTATGACTTGTCCATGATCCGCTGAATCTTTAGAGAAACGGATCCTGAATCCCACCATATCGCTAGGACTCGCGCGGCATCCAGCACGCATTCGATACGCTCATCACACGCCGGTTGCGGTACGACCGAAAGAAGCTGACCAACTCGAGTAGTACGACTACAACGACAAGTATCAAGAGGGAAGCTTGCTCTGCCTTCGACCGCGGGGAACGGTTGGCCATCACAGCGAAATCCGACGTGAAGGAAATGCATGACATCGGCGACGTCGTACTCGTCCTTCGACCTGAAACAGATGTTCTTCTTTACTAGAACCTGTGCAGAAAAGATATCATTCTCACTATTCTTGCTCTTTCTACCCCTTTTTCTCTTAGAAACAACTTTCACTGGTTCATCACTAATCTCATCTGGGCATTTGAGCAACAAGTCAAATTGTACTCGGACTGGGTCTTCATTTTTGGACAAGTTCGTTATCAGTGCCGAGTTATCACTACACTCAATAACTCTAAACGGTCCACTCCAATCTATCGTCAACTTTGGGTGTCCTGCTAGTGCTTTCTCTCTCGGCATCTTCATAAAAACCCTATCTCCTAACTGGGGCTTATAATGCATATTGACACCTTTTTTATCATCACCAGTCGGATCACCCGGCTGCCGCCGGGTGCTCCTCCTTCTTTGTCACGGCCTGGCTTCGCCAGGCACTCTTTCCTTAGGCGAGGTAGAGTGTGCAAAATACGCCTAACCGTCACAGTGCATTTTCCAGCAAAATGTAGAAAAATAATTGAAAATAGCTCGAGCAATGGGTTAAAGTTGAATCAGGCGAGTGCAACATACAGCGCTTTGTTACTTCCGAAATTCTAATGACATCAAAAGAAAGAACTACACCGAGATACTTGACAGTGAATCGTTAAAAAGTGGTAAGAAATGTGACGAAATTTGATTTTCATCAAATTTAATCAATTGGTATGATTACTTACCACACGTCCTTCCACAAAAACTTTGGAATTTGGTACTTCGAAAGCTCTAACACCTTGAACAACGATGACCGCAAGGCCTCTTATCAGTCCCTATCAGTTGTTATGGCTTTTTGTCACCCACCGTTCCTGACCCCATTTCACCCCCTATATCACCTGCTGGAACCAACGCTGACTCTGCGACCCACGGTATGGAAACAGTGGCCTTATCTTTCTGACGCCCCTTATCCAATCTTATCAGATGCTGGCAGTTTTTGTCACCAACCTAGTGTTCCTTTCCTAAACCCTACATCGTATCTTGGAACCAACCTCCTACTGTTGCTGTGACTCGCGTGATGGACTCAGTGACCATACCCTTCTAACATCCCTCGAATCTTATCAGCAGCTGACAGTTCTTGTCATCCACCAATAATGTTCCTGTCCCATACCCTACATCATATGTTGGAATCAACACCTGGCTGATGCTGTGACCCGCATTACGAATATGGTGAGAGTCCCCTTCTGAGGCCTCTTATCAGATATTATCAACTGATATCACTTCACTTCCTATCACCCACCAATAGTGTTCCCGTCACACCCTCTACGTCACTTCTTGGAACCAATATCTCGCTGCTACTGGGAGCGGCGCTATGAATTTCGTGTCAAAGAGACAGACGCACACGCACGGACATAGCCGATTATATATGGTAGAATTGTAACCGTTGTCCCAATGTAGCGCTGAAATCTATCCTTTTGTCCATTCTTTTCTCGGAGTTAGTACCAAAAATCTCCATAACCCTCACACGAAAATTCAGCAACCTGTTAGTAGCCTTTGAAGCATCCTACCGCTTGATGCGTTCTCCACCACTGTAGGTTTCTTTTTCTGGAATGCACTCCCGCATTCGGGCAGTTTAACGCTTTGGTCCTCTCTCAGGTTGTTGATGAAAGATAGTCATAGTGATAAAGCCAGTTGCTGCTGTTCATGGCAACTGAGTAAACAACCGTCATGCATCTGAACTCCGGTTGCTTTAGCGGCCGTACATGATGTCGATAGCGGTAAGAGCATAGGAGTGAGTTGTGTACGAACTACTGAGAGCCTGATACCTGTCATATCAATCGCATTGTGGCAGTAAGCGGTGTTGCGGATCATGATGACGCTTTCAACCCTTATCAGTTGCTGTCACTTAGTGTCACCCGTCAGTGGGTTTCCGCCCCCCTCCCCCTATACCACTTCTTTGAACCAAGGTCCCACAGACCCTGCAACCTGCCCTACAAAGTTGGTGACCCTCCGCATCTAAGGCCCCTTATCGAATCTTATCAGATGTTATCAGCTTCTGTCACACACCAATCATGTCCACTTCCCTTCCCCTATACCACGTCTCGAAATCAAGGTCCCGCGTTCGCTGCAACCTGCGCCGAATTTGGTGACACCCGCGTCTAAAGTCCCTTATCGGATCTTATCAGATGTTATCAGCTTCTGTCAGCCACCACCCTACCGTGTATATCACTTCTTGAAATCACGGTCCCGCAGCTGCTGCAACTTGCGCTACGATTTCGGTCACCCTCCCCTTCTAAGGCCCCTTATCGAATCTTATCAACTGATATCACTTCCTGTCACCCACCAATAGTGTTCCCGTCACACCCCCTACATCACTTCTTGAAATCAATGTCTCATCACTATTGGGACCGGCGCTATGAATTTCGTGACAAACAGACAGACGCACACACACGCACGGACATAGCGGATTATATATAGTAGGATGAGGGTATCCACAATCAAAACAACATCGTATGGCCTTTTTTATTATGGATCAATTTGCAATTTTTCTAGCGGTTGTTTTCTTATCTGTTGTTGTTGCTGCGTGCTTCCACTCGAGCGTGCGCTACGCACCCCCTCACCGGACCCCTTCCCTTGCACATGCTCAGGTCCGGCTGAGCACGTGCAGGGGAAGGAAGCAGAGGGGAGGGGTCACTCGGTGCCCCCCCTCGGCTTCACCCCACCCTGCCCCCGCACGAGCTCACGTCCAGCTGCCACCCGAGCAGCTCGTGCAATGGCTCGGAGCGTACCGAATGGTTGTCTTATATATGCTGTTATCACAATCAAAACATTGGATTGATACATCTGCACCGATCGAATCCCGGTTTGTCTAGCGGTCGTTTTCTTCTTTCACTAACCTGTTTAATCCTGTGAAGCATTTTGCGGACGGACAGACATACAAA